TGTTGGTTAAATAACTCCTTACCCATTCCAAAACTACACCCCTGATTCCATAACGTTCCAGTTTCTTTATTAATATGTCATGATTAATTGTGTCAAATGCTTTTTTTAGGTCAATGAATATTCCAATGGCATGTTTCTTTTGGTCAATTGAGCTAGTAATTTCTTCAAGTGAGTCTATTAAAGCCATCGATGTTGATCTATTGGCTCTGAATCCGTATTGACTTTCGGTCCAGTCTGTTATTGAAAAGCTTTTCAAGAATTTTTGAGAATTGTGGTAGAAGTGAGACAGGTCTATAGTTTGTGAAGTGATGTTTGTTCCCAGCTTTAAACAAAGGTATGACTTTTGCTATTTTCATTTTGTTAGGAAATGCACCAGTTTGGAATGATAAGTTACATATGTGTGTGAATGGTTTTGAAATAACATCTATAACCTTTTTTAATACATGTAAGCTTGAACAAATTGTTTTGGACAGTGCACCACAATCGTCTCAATGAAATGAATTATACCTTTTAGCAGTCTGAATGAGGCTTTGTAGAAACACATCTCTCATCCTCAACAAGTAAAGTCCTAAACTTCTGCCATCTGAATCTGTATATTTTAGCTACATATCTATAGTACAGTTTGTTCCTGTCTGTATCCTCTGTATTTTTTACTTTACCTTAAAGCTTACAATACATTTTTAGACTAAATACACACACTACGCTCTGCATCAGCCAAACGACTCGCTGCGCCCTCGCTGCGAGGGGGACCCAAGTTCCCATCGGCAAAAACACGTGGGTTTGCTGTCCTGGCTCCAAGATGGTGGAATGAGCTCCCCATTGACATCAGGACGGCAGATAGCTTGCACATCTTCCGGCGCAAACTGAAAACTCATCTCTTTCGACTCCACTTCGAGCGTTAGAACTATTAACGAAGCACTTTTATACTAATAAAGGACTGGCTTACCTAAAGCCAGTTGAGTAGCACTTGAAATGTTTGGCTCTATGAAACCTGATGTACTTTTATGATTCTGTTTTCTTCAAGGTTGTGTCTTCCTGGTCGAATGTACTTATTGTAAGTCGCTTTGGACAAAAGCGTCAGCTAAATGCAATGTAATGTAATGTAATGTAAAAATACATTTATTGTTTACAGCTACTGTTCTCTGTTCATACCATCAAAGTAAGAAAAACAACTAGCAGAGATGTGAAGCTTTTTTGAGACTGCTTGAGAAGTACTTAGTACAAAGTGAATCCCATGTTGCCCATTTTTAGTTTGGAAACATGCACGATTTTTATTTTGTGGTGCAGTTATGAGACTTTCCCACAGGAGAAAAAAATGTATTTTAGGTGTTGGAACCCAAGGAGGCATAGGGATGGGTGGATGGGAGAGCGGAAAACAGCACTAGGCAACCAGAGTCAGCAGCAGCTAAACCCCTGAATTTACAAAATAAGAAACAATTTCACAAATAGACTATGCATCATTAAAGGGCTCATTTGTCAACTGCAGACTCAGAAATAATAGGAACACTGCCACAAAATGCCACTAAATTAGAATCAATATCAGAAACTCTTGTTCGAAGTGAGTGTTCTTGAGGCAAAACTCAGACATCTGAGACTCGAGGGTAACCTTTCAGCATTATCTGTTTCCCACTGTGTTTGGTTACTCTAACAGCTCAGCTAGGGACTGAGGTATGTTGAGCAGCTTATATGAGGATGTTGGAGCTTGGAAAAACAAAACACAAATGCACAATCAGGAAATGTTATTAAAGCAAGTGGCTGCCGGTAAGAGTAGGACAAATATATTCATACATGTCTGGTATGCTTTGGAAAGTAGTCAGTTATGTGTGAAATGCACAATGTTTTAGTTAATGGGAAAGAGCTGCAAAAACACAGGCACAGTCATGCACTTAAGTGCTCTAATACCAACTTATGACACAGCTACCCAGGCCTACCTGAATACCTCTCAGTTAAAGCTACAATCATTGGCTGTAAATGGACTGCATTTCTATATATGGTACATTTTCTGCATTTATATAGCACTTTTCCAGTCTTTGCGAAACCCTCAAAGCGCTTTTACATATAAGTGTGAGAATTCACCCCATTCATACAGAGGCAGAGGCTGCCGACTGGAACACACTCAGACACCGTTGGCCATGCCATAGGGAGCAATTCGGGGCAAGGTACCCACTTCAATGGGTTGACTACAGGGGCTGGGGATCCAAACACAGACCTTCCAGTATGTGCATGACATCTCCACCTCACTTACCTTATTTTATCCCATAGCTACTGTAGCACTCTCAGCCTCAAGATTTTATTTTCTTAACCCCCTTGACGGGATACCAGATCACTGTCCAATTACAAGGTTCATTTCAACTATCAACTGGAAATCAACACCCCAGGCTCCCTCCTGCGTAAGTCCAAAGGACGTTCCAGGAACAGCTTGCAGCTGCTTTTGCTGTGTCTTTGCTTGTCCATGTGTGTGTCTGTTTTCCAATGTGTTTCTTGTTGCGCTGCAATTAACAAGTGCAGAGTGGATAAGCAAGGCTGAGCAGTATGTAAATGAATGATTCTGACAGATATTGTCTAGCGATTGTGTTTCATGAACATCGCTAGTATCAACGCAGTGGCACACTAGGTTATTTTCCTCAGCCACAGAAGAGCAGCTGGCGACAGGTGTAACATGCTGCTCTCTAATATGAAACCCTTGAGGTCTCCGAAGGATAATTTATAATAACGTAACCACTATTCGAATATAGCTCGAGTGTTGTGTTGTCTTGTTGTGTTGTATCACCATGGTTAGCAAATGAAACAACCACTCTACTCTTCCTTTTATGAGACAAATTAACTCTCTAACAGATTGTAGGTGTCGCTGTATCACAGTTCAGAAAACTGATGGGTAATTTATAAATGTGATGAATAATCTTCATAAATGTACTAAGGTTAGAATAAAATATGTTTAAAGATGCTAACATTTTTGGACCTTGAAGTATTGACTTGTGACTACTATGGTGGAGATCCTGAAATGCATTACTCAGCATTTGGATTGGACTGAGAAGAAACATTTTTGTCTATGGATACATACAATAAATGACATATTTAAAAATAAAATGTTGAAGTTACTCGACTGGCAGGTACTACATTTGTAGAAAGTAGGACAGTAAGCTTTTGAGTGACTCTACAGCTGGCAGATTGTCACTGGCAAATTCACAGCTGGGACACTACAAGTGTGCGCCTCAACAGCCCTCTACAGAGCAAGTTGGCTCCCTATACAGCTTCTGAATATTTAAATAATCCAAGAAATAAACCTATGTTATGAGGGTGTCTCATGCTTCCCTTTATGAACTACACATATCCAAAAGCTTATTTTCTCTTCCTACCTCATTCTCGTGCGATGTTAGCTATTGACAACTCATTCCCACTGACTGTCACTCATCGTGACTCTTGTTCCCCAAAGGAATTATCACATAATCAATGGCAAAACCACAGTAGTCTGACTAATCGAGTATAGACCGCGGGTTTAAGCCTGCCAATATTCGCCCATTTCAGTCGGCAATCTCCTCTGCATCGATTTTGCAAAGGCAGCGTTCTTGCCTAGTGCTCCCCAAGACCATTGTGATGGGTTTAAAGAAAGAAAAAAAAAAAGCCAGAGCATTGTTCTTTTAACACTATACAAGGATGATATGTGGAGCCAGACCTTCTTCTCGTAAACACAGTGCTGTTGAGATAGTTCTGGCTTTTCAAGACTACAACCACGGTGTAACCCAGTGGCTATACATCAAAATAACATTGGTTGTTCTTTCCCCCCCCATTAACCTTGATATAAATACTTTAATTGTGCTTATAAAAATGGTATTGAGTGTGCTGTTGTGGGTAAACAAAAGAACAGGTGGAGCAGGGTTTGCCAGAGTTAAGTTTTAAGAGCATGGAAGCAGGCCACAGGAGATTATCAGAGGTGAATGAAATACTGTATGTGAGGGCCCGAATAGTAATCTGTTAAAGTATCCTTTGCCCCTGACAAGCCCTGCCTCTCCTCTTCTCTCCAATATAGTCCTTACCTTTGAAAATGTGTTGTTCCCCCACCAGCTGTGCCCTTTATTTAAAGGGGTCAGCAAAAAGATACAGAGTGCATGTGTGTGAGTCTGTGCACGAGGAGGGGTCTGCCTGCTAGAGGGAAGGCAGAGGGAGAAGACATAGCATGAGGAGTTATAGTCATTGTGATAGAGTTGCTGTATGTCCGATCCGACACATTTAGAGTGTTGGTCAGCTAGTGTTAGCACTTAAATTAAATCGAATCAACTATAGGTATTTAGAGCAGGGTTAGTTTCAACCTTCTATTAACTCCCCACCGGAATACTAAATTAATCCATCCTCCTATCCTATGAACTTTTTTTTTTTTTTCAATAAGATGAAGGAGCAAATCATCTGCCTATGGGACATTCCCTGAGGATTTACTGTATTTTTTAAAAATATTTTAGTCTACACTTGCTTTTGAGATTTATATATAACAACGAAAGACTTCCCTGCCCTGAGGGAGTGTGTGAAGGAAATCTGTACAGTAAAAGATGGATTCTTGGGATACAGACTCGGAGGACTCGTGTGGTTGGGGCGACTCCTCTGAAGAAGCGTCATCGGAGGAAGATGAACTTGATGTCAAATATAATAAAGAGTAGGCAGTGATGTGTGTTGCGTTTCAATAGTGATGTTTTCATTGTGTGCCTGAGCCATATATGAAGTGAATGGAGTTGAGAAAGACATAAACAAAGTTAGACTGTTTCCATCTTTACAGCGCTGATGAAGCTTTTAAAATTGTAATTATGTGATTCAATAACAGCAACACCGTGTGTAAATAGTGGAACAAATGTATCAATGTTGGTATTGTGTCTGATTGTGTCTGACATCTTTGCTTTTTAATGCTATTTTCTTAATGTCTTTCATTTTTGTAAAGCACTTTGAATTGCCTTGTGTTGAAAGGTGCTATATAAATGACTTGCCTTGATTGTGTTTATTCTCTTTGTGTCCAGGGAGGATGTCAGGACGGCCAACGTCATCGCAGCAGAGGCAGTCACCTGTCTAGTCATCGATAGAGAGTGAGTATTAATAAAGTTATTAACCATAGAACACAATGTTCTACGTTGTAATCCTATTGTTTCTTAAGCATTGGTTCACATGGCACACATTTAGTTAGATTACATTCATTTTCAAACAAAAAAACATCAAAGTCGTCATGAATATGTCAAATGTATATTCAATTACATATTACATTTCTACACCAGTAATTAATGTTTGCTGAGCAATAGTTTGGATATGATGCATCTGCAGGATCAGGCTTCCCTCTCCTCTTCCATACAGTACATTGTTTGAATGTCTACTCACAAAGTTTGGGAGTGATAAAAGGCAATCACGTCACTACCTAAAGTCTGCTGATGGATTCAGCTTCTATGTTTAGGACTCACCTAATATTCATGAAAATGTTTGCCAGACACAGACTTCCAACACGAACAACAAACAACGCCAAGATGGCATGTGTCTTAAGTCCCTCATCAACTTTAGTTAAGAATTTTTGATTTATGCCAGATTTGTGGCAGGATGACTAACAAGGTCTATTTTTTCCACTACCGCATTTTCAGCTTCACATTGCTGTGATGGTCTGACACTTTATTACCGTGTTCATCATGTTTTTTATGGTGCTTAAAAATATGTATCCAAGCAGTTTATATATATATATATATATATATATATATATATATATATATATATATATATATATATATATATATATATGTCTATGAGCATCTCTGTCTCAAGCATTTAGCCGTGTGGAGAGAGTGGAGAGACAGATGGATTGGGCATGGGGAGGAGATAGTATCAGCTTACCAAGGGCCTCCCTCAGCCTCAGGGAACATGGCAGGCATCCTCTCAACTAGCAGAGGGGATAGTGAGTGAGTCACCAAGCTCAGGTGATTATCACTGCCTTTCACTCTGCCTAGCATACAACAGCTAATGCTGTCACAGCCCACAAAACCTGCTCATTGTGCGTGTGTGTCCCAGCAAAGCCAGTATTTGTGAAGATTCCAGGTTGTTAGTATCCAAACCATCTGTGTGCATGTCAATGATTCTGTATGTCTGCGCTTGTGCAATGCACCAAACCTAAACAGAGCATCTAGGAGGTAAGATGAGGATACATGCAAGACACTAAGAAGGAGATAGAAACAGTTGGAAAGAGATGGGGATAAAAACAATCGACAGGAAGTCGCCATCTCACAACATGCAAGAGCCCCGTAAGCAGCCAAACATTTAAAGAAAAGCTCTGCCCCAAAACAGCCGCAGCTTGCAGGCATTATAGTCTCAACAGGACAAAGCAGCAGATGTATTACATCGTCTGGCTGACAGCTTAATGAGCCTTGCATGAAAATTGTCTTATTGAGTTGTTCTTCCAGGATGTTCTTCCAGGATGTTTTGTTCTGCATAGGAAGCTATACTTGAGTGAGAGATGAGCCGTAGCGTAGTTGTTGTTTTCTTAGACGCAGTGAGAACATTTTAATATCATTTAATTTGTATGGCCTGAAAAGAACAGTGTTGTTTCTTTCAGTTTAATAACTAGAATTATTTGTATTCATTTGAACTATTATAATAGCCAGTGACCTTTTTTTAAAACACTGAGCAAACTGTTCTATAATTCATTCAATAAAACATGCACAGCCTCTCCTTTAGGCTCTAAAATTCGCCCTCATCCGCAGCCTGCTATCACACTGTTTTACACCTCTTTGGAGTATCTCTACAGTGATTTTCAGAGGCTCGTCTCTAAAAGCAGACTAATGAATATTTAATAGTTACTGGCAGTGTTTTTATGACTGTCTGACTATAAATTGCACCATACATATGAGGATATGTTGGATATTTTAACATTTGCTTTCTGTTTTGCAGTTCGTTCAAGCACCTGATTGGAGGTTTTGAGGACGTGTCCAAACAAGGCCACGAGGATGCCGATGCCAAAGCAAAGTAAGACGATTATAATTCAGTGGTATGCATACATAATCACAAAAACCATTATGCAAATATATCATTTTACTTTGAGCTTGTTTTGTTTTAAATTGACCATATTGTGATGAACCCCCAGCTGCAACATTTTATAAAGGAGCTTGCTCTCGGCCAAGTGTTAATGCAGTAGGCCTTTAGGTTTGTTATATAACAAGACAATATCCCTGAGGCAGGTCAGAAAGCAGAGGCTATGACCTCCGCCTCTATTTGTGGAGAAATTAATATGTACTCTATGTATCGTCGCTATGGAAACAAGAGGATAGTTCTATAGAAGGCACCTTGGCAATGAGGTGGTTATCTTTGTAGCTACACATCGGCATAATCGGATACCTCGCTCACTCGGTGCTATGTTTCGAGTCAAGGTGAGTTGAAACAAGAACGCGGTAATAAAGATGGCAGAGAGAGAGAGAGAGAGAGAGAGAGAGAGAGAGAGAGAGAGAGAGAGAGAGGAGAGAGAGAGAGAGAGAGAGAGAGAGAGAGAGAGAGAGAGAGAGAGAGAGAGAGGAGAGAGGTAGAGAGAGAGAGCTGAAGAGAGAGAGAGAGAGAGAGAGAGCTTATCGGGGACAAAGCAGACAAGGCTTCTGACCAACGCTTTGATTTCTAGCTGACTGCTGAGTGTTGGTCATCTTTTGCAAGTCCGAATAATTTAGTCAGCAAAGAGCAGAACATAACACCAGTTACTGTTGGACAGAGGCACTGAGGAAAGATAGATGACAATGAGAGGAGGGGGATGCATGGCTTGCCTCTGGCGTTCGGCTCTGGTCCCCCTCATGGCTCACGATCACTGATTATTGCCAGCAAATGTGTTTGATAGAAATAAAACCTGGTGTGTATTCTCTATCCCATTCTTCCTATCCCTGTGTCTCCGTAGGGAAGATAGTTTAAAGATTGATTTAATGCAAATGAGCAACCAATCATAGCCCTCAATAATCAACCCTTTTCTCTAAAGATTAAGCCAAGCCTCCCGGAGATCTGTCACATCAAAGTGTTTTCCACCGTGATTAAGGTAGCTCTCCCTGCAGCATGCTGAGTGTGTGTCATCTCTCGCTGACACTCCCCAGCTGAGCACATTTGTTTCTTGGTGAGGAAAGCCTGAGTCAGGATCTCACGGTGACGGAAACTATCTCTAATTGGTCACAGCGGATAAGCACCATGCAGTAGTACTACAGTATAACTACACAGCAAACTACAGCTGCTCTCTGTGAGGTTCACAGGTCCTTTCTTCAAACACTACCTCCCCACATTGTTTCTGATCAAGCTGCTGCTTCTCTCTGCATGAGAAGCTTCACGCTACACAAAGTAGAGCCAATTAATCCCTTTTGTGGTAATGTTCCTTTTATTTCTGAATGCATAACATATGGCTTTGAGTTTTTTGTTTAGAGGAAAGCGATGTGAGAGATTAAAACAAGAATATTATGTTTTCAACCCATATCTTGCAGAGGTTTCTTTTAAAAAAGCTATTATTAAACCGATCAGGGACCTTGTTGCACATCATTAATGTTTTCCCTCTCCCCTAATGCCCTGTTATCTGTCCTAAAAAGGCACAACATCACGTTTACTTATTTTTGTTGGTGCTCAAATAAAACAAACAATACAAACAGAACTATCCTCTGATAGGCTTTCATTTTCTACATGTTTGTGATGAACTGTTTTCCTTTCAAACTGTCCATAAAAGTCTCAACTAAAAGTCTCATCCAACCAACAGATGTCCTGTTTTGAGTATAACGTTCTCTCCACTTATTGCTAATCACAACCCATCCAGCATGATGGAGATTAATGGGACAATATGAGCCAAGTATGACTCAGCATGTCCCATGTCTGTTGAGCAGGTGTAGGAGTTCAACAAGTGAGAATCACTGGTAAATAAAAGTGACATTTAATGAGTCAGCTTTAAGGTCAGAGATGTTTCTTTTATCTCCTCTCCCTTGAGTCAGGCTAGACCAGAGGAAATGAGCACACACCCTCATATACACACAACCAAACACACACACATGCACACGCACACACATGCACACGCACACACACACACACACACACACACACACACACACACACACACAAGGATTGCATCATTTTGTATGACCTCATCGGTTCACTGATACAGATTATCACCCACTGGGGTGCTACTTGACCGGCATAGGAACATTTTGTATTGCAGTGCTAGTATCACTCATGTAACATTGTCTAGTGACATGTCATTTTAACTTCACTAAACCTATATACCTAACCAACTTTACAGTGTTTGATGCAGCTGAGCGGTGTGTTTTTTTATTCAAGTTCAACGTTAAGAAATACATTTAAAGTGGATGTTTGGTCTGCGCCTGAATGTCATTAAAGACAAACACTTCAGCCACGGGCATAGAAAAATGTTGCCCTCTGCCAATTAAAAAAAGATCTATATGAGTATTTCTGTTACTGCTTTTGTAAATATCTTCCCTATTCATTGACTCTCCGAGAAGTGTCCTTGGATGAGAAATAGAGCAGCAGAATGTGTTTTTCCTGTAAAGACTTTTCATTTCAATTAATTGCACTGCTATCTTCACCAGCTGGTTTCAAGGTTACCTTATTGTATTAACTTAAAAAGGAATCTTGCACAGAATAGACTGTATTGTTCCCCCATTGTCTACTTAAAATCTAGCTCTTTTATGGTTCAAAGGAGTTATTGTTCACCAGCTTCAAGTATTTGCTCCTTACCTTTATACTTGAAATGGATAAAGGATGCCATCTGCTGGCTGAATGACACTATTACCTTTAAACCTTTTTAAAGACCTGCATGGAGGAAAACAATCCATTCATTCCTGAACCCGTTTATATCTGAATTTACCAGACCTCCCTTCTTATGTGTACCCATAAGTCCATGCATGCATATGTGTTGGCACTATGACCTCATTAATAATCCTGTCCCACACACAGAACTCAATGTACTCTCGCTTACCTCTCTCCATCATTTAGTTAAGCAGAGTGAATTTGGGGATTTGGAGTGTATTCTGGGCCGGCATCCAGACGAGAGGATGGGAGAAAAGATAAAAGGATCACCTGTAAATCTTACATTCGAATGGTAGTGCCTGTTTATACACAAATAAACAGTCACTGCCCTAGTAACCTAATGTGTTTCTGTGAAACATGGTGCCTTAGTAACCTGCCAACACAGGCCCCTACTGTGCCCACTGGTATGTAGCTTAGGGAGAAAGGTTTTATTGTTCTGGCTGATGTATCTGGTGGATTTGAGTAAAATCCTCTTTCCACATCTCAAATGCCTCAAAGGCTGAGATGGACGTCTCATTTGCCACTTTTATTTATCAAATTGGAACCCAGAACTGTATATAAAATGAGTCATTGTTTAACTCTTAGATAAATAAATGTAATCCCTGCTGCGCCATGAAGGAAGACTGCTGAGTTATCTAAACAAGTCTTCCTTCTAGGGGAATGTTTTGATAAATGTCTTTCACTGGCATACTTCTGTGACGTTGAAGGCAATGGTCTGTTCTGAGTGACCCAGCAAAGGCTGTCCAGGCTCCGATCTGTCCTAAACCCACTGTTCCAGACAATGAGTTGATGAAACTCTGTCTGGATCAAACAATAAACTGGAGAACATACCGTACATCTGGGGCAAATAAATAGACACGGGGAAGCTATCTTTACTGCCAGCATGTGCAGGTCTGCAGTGGCATGTTGTGGATGTTTGGTAGCAGAGTCAGGCAGCAGTAGAGAGATTGGGTGACAGATCTTTAATCCTAACATTTATGGTGCCTTTTTCCCTAACGTTTACTGGACCCTTAACACATTTCAACTAGGGCCGGGACTTTAACGCGTTAATTAAGATTAATTAATTACACAAAAAGTAACGCGTTAAAAAAATTAACGCATTTTAATCGCACTTATTTTTGCACCGCGGAACGTTTCTCACTGAATGAGTTTCAGGCGTACCGATTATACTGGAGCACCAACTAACGTTCATGACTTCAGACAACAACAAACCACAGTGAACAACAGTGGGAAATGTTGTTTTAAAAAACGGACGGATGGAAGCGTCGATAAGAGCACGGTTGTGTGCAAATTATGCAAAAAGGAATTCGCATATCACCGCAGCACATCAAGCCTCAAGTATCACCTCAATGCAAAACATATAGCAGCTAGCGTGGAAGCTAGCGTGGACGTTAGCCTCTTTTATCGCGTTCACACCAAAAAGAGCCGGTACTAAAATTAGTTCATGAGAACCTTTTTACCCCCACGAAAGTCCCTGCTAGAGAGCAGAGAGCTGCTAGAGAGCAGGGACTTTCGTACGGCTCTCTTGTGAGAAAAGAGCTATATTTCTGATTGGCTGGGCGGATTGCAAACCACGCCCCGTAAAACTCCCAAAAAGTTTTGTGAAGCCGCCATTTTATTATCCTCGCATTAGCATTATTAGCATTAGCATTATCCCAGCGCAGAAACGCAGAGAGACTAACTTATGGCAACACAAAATAAAACATGGGAGCGGTGGAGATGAGGAGGTGTCGGCGTTCTGGCGATTTACTCGGAAGGCTTCAGTAGAAGCTGCTGGGAGTCCCAGCAGCTTCTACTGAAGCCAGTCCCCAACTCCGGGGACTTCCGGCCGGGGACTTTGGGCGGCAGTATACGCCGTGAAGTTGTTTGCGGCCTGCCAGTAAACCCAAAGCAGAAGAAGAAGAAGAAGAAGAAGAAGTGACGTCAGCGGCTGCATTTGCCTAATCCTCCCCCAGGTTCAAAGAGTTCTCATGAACTAAGTTCTCATGAACCTTTGTGGGAAAAGTACTGCGGTGTGAATGCGCCTAATGGTATACTAAAATCCATGTGAAAAAAATTGCTTCTCACTGTTCTCAGGTCAAATATTTATGTGATTAAAAATGCGATTAATTTCGATTAATTAATTACAAAGCCTCTAATTAATTAGATTAATTTTTTTAATCGAGTCCCGGCCCTGTTTTCAACACTATGATTATTTTCCTTACTAAGTCTTTTTTGGCTTGACCAGCTGACAGATTGCCCAACTATACTCCACTACATCATGCCTTATTCACAACACATTAACATTCATTTAGAATATATCAGGGTGGGAAAACCATGCTTAACATCTTTATTTTGAAGAACAGTCTTTTGTAGATTCTGAAACCGTGTTAGTACTTTACTAGAGGACTGAACTCAAACACATCCTGTTCACATTTATACACTCCACATCCTCAATAACATCCTCGAAAGATTAATAAGCGTTTAATCCTCTAAGATTTGCAAACAAATGAGCTAAAGTAGTGACGGATATTTTGTCTCAGGTTGTTGGAAGTGGATAATCTCTCCTTTCATCCTGCATCTCATCACTAATCCTGTTCCGATTCTGTCTTTTTTCCATCCTTTTTCCTGGCACCACAGGTATGAAGCAGAGAATGCGTTCTTCTTCAACCTCAACCTAGCTGACTTTAACATCATCGACACTCTGGGAGTTGGTGGCTTTGGTCGTGTTGAGCTGGTATGGGGGCCCTGCACTGTGACAGTTCCAATGTTCCAATTGTCTATGTGGGCTCGTGTGGAAGCTGGTTTTTTTTTTTATTTGAATTTCTTTCTTTCTTTTTCTCACTGCAGGTTCAGCTCAAGAGCGATGAGAACAAAACCTTTGCCATGAAGATCCTGAAGAAGCGACACATTGTCGACACAAGACAGCAGGAGCACATTCGCTCCGAGAAACTCATCATGCAGGAGGCGCACTCTGACTTCATTGTTAGGTACACCTGTGAACTGCTTCATTCAAAAGGCAGTATAAATAATCTACAATGTTCCATACATTCCTCAAGGATTAGTACTTTATTAATTTAGAACCAAAAAGGACTGTGGATTATTTGTCAAGTTTATAAAGGTTTCGTCACACTTTGTGCATTTCAACATAAATGCAGAATGAATGTATGTGTGTGTGTGTGTGTGTGTTTGTGTCTACCTGTGATGTTCCTGAAACTCTGGTGATCTATAAAAGGCGTTCTTCCTGCTGTTTTGTCTGTGTATTCTGGAAGACGCGCCATCTCTTGTGACCCTGAAAGAAAAAAAGAAGGCACATGAGTGCTATGTTTATGCTACACTATAAAGTATATCTTTAAATACAGGTATTCACAGGGAGTCCTTGAACTCCAGGGGGCCCCAGTTACCTCAGGGGTGCTGAATAACTGTTGCACAATTTTATAGATTCAGTTTTAGTTTTCATAAGGTTAAGTGTCTGTAAATAGACATTGCACTAACATAAATATAACATATTATTATCAAAGATACATCAGATTGTTTCACAGGCTAATAGGTCAGCTAGTTAGCTAACCTATGCTCAATCCCTGTGGGGCTACTCTCCATAACGGTGGACTAGTTAGCTATATTAGGTACTATTATATTTATAGCTTAGTACCAAATGCACCATAAAAAGGTATGCTTTTTCACAAGACTCTATGTAGCTTTATACGTTATTGTAGGCCCAGTTTCATATGCAACTAAATGTTAAGCACATTTAGTAGAGGGTCCATGCTCCATCTATATTTTAACTAAGTAGTCCGTAGCCTAATAAGCATAAAAGAATCATGGACTATTGGTGGAAATACAGTTGCTCTTTCTGACCACATACTCTGTTTCAAAGATAGTGAATAGGCATTTTGATGTAACATTGCTTCTTACACAACTGGTGATAGTATATGCGTTATTTCAATATTAACAGCGTGCATACAGATACATTTTTTTATTGAAATGTACTTTGCATATATTGATATCGTCGACAATCATTTTGTAAGAGTATGTATCAGCTCTTCTTGAACTGTGAAATATTAATTAATTACACAAATAGATATTTACCACATTGCATTTAAAAGCTGTTATAGTGAGACTCTACCTTTTTATTTTCTAATTGTCAGACTCTATAGGACGTTCAAGGACAGCAAGTACCTCTACATGTTGATGGAGGCTTGTTTAGGGGGAGAGCTGTGGACAATACTTCGAGACCGGTAAGCTCATTTGTTTTAGCCGAGTTATATTTCTGTTACTGCTAGGGATGCAAAGCGTAAGTATCACAACATGTGGATAGCGAAAGGTGCAGTAATAGTCCTAAAACCTAAAGTATCTGTTGTTGTGCTGTGTTTCCAGGGGTTCATTTGAGGACTCAACCACCAGGTTTTACACAGGGTGTGTGGTGGAGGCCTTCGCTTACCTACATTCCAAAGGAATAATCTACAGAGACCTCAAACCAGAGAACCTTATTTTGGACCACAGGGGATATGCCAAACTGGTAAGAGGTCAATAAGGGATTACCGAAGAACTCCAAATTATTTTTTCTGTCTTTTGTTGAAGGGAGAAATCTAACCTTTTTCTGACACTACAAAGGAGTATCAAATTAAACTCGAACTCGAGTGTTCGATTACACTTCAACAGTTGTCTTTTGTTGCGAGTAAATAATAGTATAATTAAAGTATAATTGAGTTTAAGTTGGCATTTGTTTGGGGTGCCGCCATTACCTTTCCCCTGCTGGAGAAACCAGTTTGTTGCTTTTGGCAGAGCAGCAACCAGCTGCTCCATGACTTTTATCCACCATGCCAATACATTCATATACACATGTTCTCATTCAAATAAGGACCAAATTGTTTTGTTTTGAAATGAAATACCTTTTCAACTTCATCTTACTGACAAAAAACCCGTTTTCTTTGTCACAGGTCGACTTTGGCTTTGCCAAGAAGATCGGGTTTGGGAAGAAGACGTGGACCTTCTGTGGGACACCAGAGTATGTAGCACCAGAGATCATTCTCAACAAAGGCCACGACATCTCAGCCGACTACTGGTCGCTAGGCATCCTCATGTTTGAGCTCCTAACTGGCAGGTACACTCAAGTCGATAAACCTTAGGTTTGCTTTGAGATGGCATATGGTATCATGCACAACAAAAACAATAAATACTATTTTAAAAACTTTGCATTTCTCACTCAAGACTAATATCTTTACCTGTGTTTATCTAGCCCTCCATTCTCTGGCCCTGACCCTATGAAAACGTACAACATCATCCTGAGAGGCATCGACATGATCGAATTTCCAAAGAAAATTACCAAAAATGCTGGCAACTTAATAAAAAAGCTATGCAGGTGAGTGTCTGTGCTTCTGGCGATAGTTTAGACTCTGAGTAATTGATTTAAGTGGCTTATTTTCATTATGAGTCATCTTTTTGTTTCTTCTACAGGGATAATCCCTCTGAACGACTGGGAAACTTGAAAAATGGTGTCAAAGACATCCAGAAGCACAAGTAAGCATGCGTATAAAAGAATAACATCCTTTTAGTTGTACATTTCTCTGAGCAGATTGATTTGGTAGTTAAACATAATTATGAAATAATAAAGAAGACATACTGTTTTTTCTTCAGATGGTTTGAAGGCTTTAACTGGGAGGGCTTGAAGAAGGGGACATTGACGCCTCCTATTATCCCCAACGTAAGTGCATACTTGCGATGCTAGTTCATATTTTCTAGTTGCTCTTTTGTAGTCACTTTCATACTCTAAATACGTGTTTCATCGGCTTGTTAAGCTGCTAACCTTTTTCTGTCTTTACACCAGCTCACATCAGCAGTTGACACAAGTAACTTCGACAGCTTCCCAGAGGACAACGAGGACCCGCCTCCTGATGACAACTCTGGCTGGGACGTTGATTTTTGAAGTCCGCTTCTCAACTTAAAACCAAAAGAAACTCTTCTTTTGTTGGCTTGGAGGCCATCTTGAGGATACGGATGTGTTGTAAAAAAACTGCTATAAAAAGAGAGGATTTGGAGAAGAAGATAGATGGATGGAAAACCCTCTGGGTCACCGATATGCCTTTATTTCACTGTGGCTCTGGATCAAGCATTTATATTGGGACTGCTGTAGCACTTCTTCAGTGTTGTCTTACACTCTGCTCTGAAGGCAAAGGAAAAGAAAGTGCAGGGATACACATACACACACGACACAACAGAGGCTGATAATGGAGCCAGGTTTTCTCATGCAACAGGGAATTATGTTCAATGGGTGGATGATTGTTCCATAGTTTGTCTAAGTTTTGGTTCTAGGGTCAATAACAGTGAAAAATGTGGACTGCGCAAAAAAACAGAAAACGCTGATGATGATTTTTTTGTGTTGGTATCTTCGCAATATTTGGTGAAATGTTTGAAGGACATTGGATGGGTTTAGGATGCTACTTCTTGACATGCAGCTGCTTTCTGCAAACTCCGATAATTTCCAGAGATCTACACACTACAGTTTGCAAGTAAAACTGTATCAAGTGCCCAAGACTAACCTGAATGTCACATTTCCCTCTTATTTGAAGTCCATAAGGCATGTACGGTACAAAGTATTTGAATTTAAAAAAGACACTTCACCACAACAAAATCAAATACTTAGTACACTTTATATAAGATACCTTGAAAAGCACAAACACTGTGCCTTGAGTGAAAAGAGACGTGAATCTTAAAAGTGCCCTCCTTAAAATGTAATGAATCACACACCGACAAACACGAAATGTCAGCTAGTATTTTCATGAAGCAATGTGTCATTATGCACTTAAGACCATTAACTGGGAAAATTAGCAGTTACAGCTCATTTTAAGCTTCGGTAGATGGTGCCACACCTATTTTCTTTAATATGCTTTTAATTGACACATATAAATGCGTCTCTGCCTACATACTTCTTAATTTTGTTCTGAAATCACCCAAATGCCTCGTCATCTTTTCGCCTCTGTATAGTTCTGACACAACTGTGAACATGGTTTCAATGTCTTTGGTGCTGTTATTGATACATTATAATAAGAGATGGTGAGGTGACAGTACTGGTTATTGTTTTTGTAAAGTGATTATTTTGTGCCTGTTTTCTTTGTAACGTATACTTGACTTTGTTCTTTAGACAAATTGGAGATTTGTGTGCAATTGTAAACTCGATTGAGGCTTTATTTGATATCACTTGACACCATGTTACATTGTGCTAAGTGGTATTCCCGAGTGCTTTTTTTACAAACAGGTTAAGTTAAAGCTTAAATTAACCATCCTTGTCTTTGGAGGCATTAACCACATTCACATTATCTTAAGACTATCTTGATTTAACATCATCTAATAGATGTTTTAAAAGCGAACAGATTCAAAGGAGATTATATTCTGTGAAACTCACAACTTCGACCATTGGCGCCATGATCTCTCACCCTGCTCATCATCCCTCATGTCCAAAGATCAGAACAATGTAAGTGCCTTAAATCAATGGCATACAAATTTAACATCACAAGTCCTTTTCGATGCTGCATGAAAACATTTACACCTCAAAAACGTCTGTTTCCTCTTAGATGGCTGCTTCTCATCCTTTGTTATATCTAATAAATACATTAATCACCATGAAAAGAGAATTTTTAGTCATTTGATGGCTGACATGAAATTAATTTCCTGCTTACCCCTTGTGGTATATCTCACAGGAACATTCATTAAAAGTGAGATGATAATAATCTATCATACCTGATATGTCTGCAATGAAATGCTTTTCTCTACATGTCTAAAATGGTCTTATGAAATAAACCACAGCTGGCCTGAGATAAAGTGAAGTATAAATCCTGGATCAGAGGGACATCCATCACCTTTCAGTCATCAAATGTGAGCATGCAGCAATGGCGTGAATGATTTGCAGTTTTGAACATTTCACAGCTTGGTAAACAGTATTACTCTTTACCACTGTTGACAATCTTTGACGGTATGATAGCATTGATCATAATGTATCAACATTGTTAAAATGATCACTGTTTCTCTCATATTTCATGAAGCCAAACAGACCCACACATTTAACTTTCATAAATCATTGAATGAAGACATCTTAGATCTGTGGGCATACCGAGTATTTTCTGTTGCTGTATTAAGTGCGGGTCATGTTTATCACAAAGCCTTATGTATGCCATCACTTCACAAACCACTGGTTTTGAGTCTTATATTGGCCGCCTTCTGCAATGTTACCTGATATATTGCCTTGTGTTATGTTGTTTATCTGCTGTAAATGAGTTTTGCAGAGTGCCACCTGTAAGATTTTTAAAATTATAGAGTAAAAACAATACTTTTGAGTGGTGTTTGTCTCGTAGTTATTTTGTATCCAACTCTGAATAAGTTATTAAAAACTTGTGCTGGGGAGATTTTAGTTTGATGTAATTGCCACAAGGGGGGGCTGTAGGTAAGGCAGATGTCAGCGTGAGTCTGATGTGAAATAGTTAAGGTTGCATGAGATCTAATAATTGGTCCTACAGTCAATGTAATCCACATACTGGTAAATGCAGATGATTCAGCTTCTCTGGTCTCAGTGTTATTCACACAACAAATCTGTTTGGGGGACAGGGAAATGGCTTCAGCCATAACAACAGGGTGACACTTCGAAGAGATCAAAGGGGATCAAAGTGCATCAAAGGAGCTCACCTTACCAGCACTGACATTTAGTAAAGTGGAGATAAAAGCACTACTTCAAAAGACATACAGCAATTCAAACGCGCAAAGTGCTACAGTGTGTTTGTCAGGTGTCTATGGCGCATCTCTTCCTCGCAGACACACACGCATATGCACGCACACGCGGCACACACACATCCTCACACTCAAACATAAGCTACGTGACCAGCAGATGACGTCCAAGTGCCAAGATAGCTTCATAAACCAGAGGGGTCGTTTCCAATACGCACTTCAGCACCTGTGTTTTTTCAGCACATCCTAAACCAGACAAATTGAGCCCCCTAAAATACTTAAGAAAAACACTTTGCACTATTTCGCAACATGGGATTTAATTCACAAAACAATATTTCAAATATATATAACTGATAGCGTAATTGGTAAAACGGTGATATTATATGGGGCTTGTTTTGTAGACATAAGTCAATCAAACACGTTTTTTTCTAACCTTAGATGGGTTATTTCTTACAGTGGAGGAGCCCAAAGGGTCACCGAACAGGACAGATCAGAGTTGCCTTTAATCTCAAAGTGCCAGTCAACCCTGAAAGGCCTCGCCACGGAAGTCCATTAATTCGGTAAACTTTTCACACCCCTTAATGGTCTGCAAATCCCACACATTGATGTCCGCGACTGGTGTAGTCAAGCACACTTTGGAGGATAATTGCCCCCTTTGCAATCAGAAGGATCAAATGAAGTAGTTAATCGACGCAAGTAACTTCAATCACTGTCTTCACACAGCCAAAGGGCAGTTCGGCTACTTGAATGTCAAAGAAACGGGAAAAACCAAACAGCATTTATAAAGAAGGGTGACTTCTTTATGAAGTTTATGAAGACAAATAATACAAAATCCCACATTTTGAAGAACACTGTAGCAGATACATGTATTATTTTGGATTAATTACGCCAATAACTGCCTGGAAAACATTACAAGTCAATTATGATTTAATGGGGAAATGTTACAATCAACGTTTTTTTAAAACAATGAATAGCCTACTGCTATAAAACATGACTACTTTCGTCTTATGATGAGTTTCATTTGAAAACGAGTGAAATAAATTATTTATAGCTATCCTATTTCAATATTTAATATAATCTGTGAGACCACGTTTATTCTCCACACATGCTTTAAATATGTTGAAAAAGCAGAATACGGAGGAAAACTGGTAGGCCTACACCTTAAAAAAAAGTATACTAAACAATAAAAAGAAACATATATCATTTATTCACTCTTGTTTTTTCATTAATTAAAAACGTGATTTCAATGTAGATTAAGAAAGTCCATCTCTCTGGAAATACTTTATTTCCAGGACTCGTTACTTGGTGATGGGCATTCAGTGTCGGGGGAGAATGGATGGCCATTTCCGTACAGCGGGTCTCTCTTTGAAATTCCACCCCTCCGCCTTTGTTGTGCACAGCGAGGGGCGGGAAGACAAACAGGTCCACATGTATAAAGAGATCAACCGAGGACTGTGAGTCAGTAGGCTTCGACAGCATCCTGTGAAACTCTCTGGAAACTTTGGGATTCAGGATTTGAGTTCGCTTTTGGACTTTGCCACTTTTTGAATTTATAAAAAATAAATTGGGTTTTTTCCCCCGTGTGTTTACAACACAGCAGATTAAAAGCGAGAATCATGCAGATACCGGCACACCGCTTCTTGGCTGTGTATCTCACGCTGTTTGGATACCTTGGGGACGTCTACACGGGAACAGTCCTTGTAAACTCCAATGCTATCAAGAACCTGCCCGGTGCTTCGGGGGGTAAAGGCTCCGACACTGTCAGCCCGAGTCCGCGCACCTCTCCCTCCGGAAGCTTTGGACACAAATTACCCGTGGACACCTTGCAGGTAATTACATTTCCCGTGCGTAAAAGGCATTCTCTGCGCTGAGGCAAAAGTCTTGTTATGTACGTTTCATATGTGATATCTCATTCCTAAATGACACCCTTTACTTGTTTTAACACTATAGCAGTCAGCTGTTTGCACGGGTGATGAAGACTGTGGAGGTGATGAATTCTGTAACGACGCTCGAGGCGCCTGTCTGCCCTGCCGTAAGAGCCGGAAGCGTTGCGCACGGGACTCCATGTGTTGCGCAGGAAACCGCTGCAGCAATGGTGAGCAGAGGCATCCTACCTGAAACAAATGCTGTTATTTACGATTTACCCAGTTGTTAATGATAATCTGATAACTGTGAATACTTTTTTTGTAGTCATATGCAATTATGTGTTTGCATGTTTTGCTGATATCCTTGTATCCAAATCTGTTGTTGTGTCAAATATAAACCCTAAATGCGTTTCCTTCTTTTGACAATTATAGGTGTTTGCCAGGCAAATGACATAGATGGTGCAGATGCATCCATCGTCACAGGCTGGCACAAACACAACAACACCATGGAGCATCATGCTAAAAAGCCTTCCACTGCCCACAACAATCAGCCTATTTCTACAAAAGGTGAGTTAAGGTTATTCAAACTTGATCAGGTTCCATTTAGTAATACCACAAGCAGTTTCTGTAAAGTGTCTTTCATGCAACAGATTTTAACCTCTCTCTTTTGATCATATTTTTCCAGGCCAGGAAGGGGATAATTGTCTGAGATCTGCAGACTGCTCTGAGGGTCTGTGCTGTGCCAGACACTTCTGGTCTCGCATCTGTAAGCCTGTGCTGACGGAGGGCCAGGTGTGTACGCGCCACCGCAGGAAAGGCACCCATGGTTTGGAGCTGTTCCAGCGCTGCGACTGCGGAGACGGTCTATCCTGCCGACCAGAGAAAGGAGAGCGAGACCTCAGTGTCAGCAGGACAGCCCGGAACCTACACACCTGTCAGAGACGCTGACACTAAAGCGTGAACACACAGTGACAAAGAAACACACACACATCCTGCAAACCCACAAATCAGTCATATACACTGACATACACTTTTCAGCTTTCATTCCACCAGAGATGCTGACACAAAAACACGTAGACACCCAACACCTAAGACATTCTTTCCTGCCAAAGTTGCTGACACAAACAGCACCCGGAAGGATGGACATGATTCCTGGTAAAGTGATACACCCAGAGGGATGCAACAGTGCAAGACAGACTGATCCAGTTCCCCATTAACAGTCGGAAGTTAGGAAGTGATATTTCAGAAGTCTTGGGGAGATCGATTCATGTCGTCGGTAATGGCAGAGCTGTTTTGTTTCTCTTTTTATGGAACTTCAAGCCTCAGTTATTGCAGTAAATTACTGCATTGTAAATATTATCCTGGCACATAATTGAGCTATTGAATTCTGTCAACACCAGTATTATAAAGACATGGTGCTGCATGCATTGTAAATCTGTTATATATATTGTTTTATAAGAAAATGTTCTATAGAAAATGTGAATATATTTGTTTTATTAAACAACATTCGATAACCTTACTCTTTTGTTCTGGAAATCTTTTTGTGTTAATAGTTTCTCTGATCTACTGTGTAACAAAAATAAATGTCTTATGGGAAATTGTTTCAGAGAGGTTTCACTAAAATTGTTTCAAACATATATTTTACCGCAGATGTTAGGGTCCAAACCATTTAGTCCAAATATTCACTTAAGGGTTGTTACCAGTGGGTAACATTTCTTCTAGAATAACAATTTTCCCTTTTTGGAAAGCAAGAGTTATTTGAACAATCACTTGGTGGTGTAAAACTCATAGCCCAGTATTCACAAAGCACCAGTTGAGGTTGAGTGGATGGTTACAATGTTTGGCCCATATTTGTTTCTCCAACCCATTACACACAATTGCTGGGATATATGCAAACACACTTGCAGTAAACATACTTACAACAAACAACACACTTTCCTGAGTCAGGAGCCTCAACAGGCCACATCCTGCTATAGGAAGCAAATGATGGTCCATCAGAGCTATGTCATCAGACGTATGATGAAAACAGGACAGGATGCTGCCATATCAAATGATAACTGCAAAGGGGTAATAACAAAGTGTGTGTGTCCTGGCGAGTGTTTGCCACCTAACCCTTTGGTGTTGCTGGCTAGTTTCTAATTATAACATCCCTGCCTTCATGTGCAGCAGAGCAGATAGCCAGCTATACAAACTAAAGCCTCTAATTACTTAATTTTACTCAATCTACCAAAGGATTCATGAAATGAGGTGCACCATCATTTTTGTGATGCAACAAAATAAGAAGAGCTTGGTTTTCAATCTGTTCAATTGCACAGCACACTCCGTTTCCTGGCTGTTGTGCAATGGATGCGCTCTAATGTGAAGGCTATGAATCCACCCAGATACACCTTGGTGCCTGTAATTAGACATGTTTAGATTAGAAGATGGGGAGGAAATTACTGTACTTTCTGCTTGATTCTTGTCAGATCAAAAGGAGCACACGCCACTCTTGATATCTGACCCAGCCAGTAACCTCTTCATCTGTTTACTTCCACAGACATTACATTTAAGTTGTCAAAGGAAGCAAGGTGAGGTTAGCTTAGACTCTGATTGAGAATCGGTTCAAAAGTAACTTATGTCATTTACTCAAGGGCTGCACTTAAGTATAATTCTGAGGTACTTTATCATTCTACTTCTCTACTCATCAGAGGGACACTTTGTACTCTTTACTCCACAACATCTAACTGCTGGCACCAGTTACTCAATAGATCGTTTTAAAAAAGCTATAATGAGCCTGTAAATACGCATGTAAATACATCTGTAATAACAACACAATGATATATAATATAAAATATAACACTGTCAAACCGACATGATAGTACTGACAGAAAAACACTAAACATACTGTTGGAGCTATGTATATCTTTATATTATTTAATAGTTTAACATTTATTTTCTTGCTGTTTCTTTAGACTATTTTTCTTTCTCTCCATTTCTTTTCCAGGAAGCCGTTGCCTGAAAACTATGCAGATGATTATTTGTATGGATAGGATAAAGATAGAGTATAGCTCCATTTATATATATATATATATATATAAATATATATATATTTAAATACTAAACAAGCCCCCAATGGCTATAGTTTTCAAAAATTGATTAAAGACCACAGAGTTTTAAACCATCAATATTTGTTCTATTTATTGAGGAACTTGCTGCTGCAATTTGTATAAATGTTAACATCATAGTAATGATATCCCTAGCCTTCCTTAACACATTAGTGTTCGTATGCAGACAACTATTCCCTTATCTGTTTATCAGTTTCAGAAATCTCAGATTGGACTATGAATGAAATCACCAATTTTACCCATATACACATTTATATAAACGTACAATTGTCTTGCTAGTGAATTCAATAATAAAAAAGCATTTTCTTATAAAAGAAACTCATGAAACAATACAAACTACTAGCTATATTGAACAATATCCCTCCCCACATATGAATGGTAAGGACTTACCACATAACAGATTTCTTGACCAGGATTTGTAGTGATCTCTTCCCATGATAAACAAAACTAACCCTAAACAATACCAATTTATTCAAAGAACACAACAATTTCCCAACAAAATTCAGAAACATCACACTGTCCAATGAACAAACATAATGATCTACACTGCACCTGGCTCCCTAGCGAGAGATAGTATATTTCTTTCGTATCTTTATCTCTCAGTCATCAACACCCCCTCCTAAAACCACAAACCAATACTTGTTGAACTTGAAAACAAGACAATAAGCATTGCACAATGGTTTAACCTTCTCTCAGATTATTTCAATGGAAATATATTTACACCAGCACCAAACCAAAAAACCTGTGTCCCTTTCATATCTGCATGAAATCTACCTGTGAACTAATCCCCCTACACATGTACACAAAACACATGTCGTCGTACTGTATACACTCACACCCTGAACTAGCGGCATTCACCACATAACGCCATATCCCATAACACACCAACCCCTATCAATTATACAAATCTCTCATAATGCTTTATTCATCTAGATTAATTGTTATTCAGTCTATTTACTCTTCTTCAGTTACTGTTGCATTTACCATTATGTGATGGATATATTCCTCATTGCTTCTTTACAGTCCCATATTTTTATTTCTGAAATTAATTAAATCAATATGTACCAAGAGAAAACTGATATACAGTATGTAATTGTTTCCCCCGCTACATGCAAGAATCCTCTTCCTCACCTCCTTAGTTATTTTAATTATTCATTCTCCTACACATTCATTTCCCCATCCGTCTACGACTATCTTTCATTCCATTTGCATGACTGTTCACCTGTCTATCTGTATGTGTAATTGTTTGACTTTAGCATATGTACATAACAAGTACTATAGAAATACGTGTTTATGCCACTTAAGGTAAAGAGGATGGATGGTAGGGAGAGGGTTGTTAATGAACATTTTTTACAATACTTAAGTTAAATATATAGAGCCATTCTGCCTGCAGTAAGGTTCTTTGATTAATACAACAGTCACATTTTTATATTGTGATATTACTTTTACTTGAGTAAAGGACCCACATACTTTTTTACCACATTGAAGGATATATATATATATTGACAAGGAGGCAGGCAGACATACAGAGACACACTCCATTTAAACAATTTAGTGTCCATTCTTCAGAGTAATTAAGAGTAATGGGAGCATTGTCAGCAGTACTATATATCATGCAGGCTCAGCCAAGTCATGTTTGTGGGGGTCCTGGAATCTGTGTGTGTGTGTGTGTGTGTGTGTGTGTGTGTGTGTGTGTGAGCCTGTCATCATTACACCAACCACAGGCTAACACAGGCATGTGCCCTAACTCCATGAAGACGACGGTGTGTGCATGTGACACACATACACACACACACACACGCACACAGTACTGGACTCGACAGAAACAACAGCAACAACAACTGCATCCACAACAACAGACACACACAGTCATGTCACTGCATGCCACCTCACAGCAATTACATATATACAAACACATTTACACATGTCAGCACATGCCTTTATAGTGGCGATTCTTGGGGTGTGACAGGTTTAGAGTGTTGTCATACCACAAGAATGATTTAATTTCCACCGGCATGCATTTTATGATGTGCTTCCAAAAACTTGACAGTTGTAACTACAGCAAACATTAATTTTCACAACACACTGCATGCTCTGAGTAATGGAAAATTCAACACTTGTGTTATGATAATGTATTTTTTATTTGAAAACTTAAAACCAGTCATGGTCTGATCCAGGTATTCTTGGTATTCATCAGGTAAGGAGGTTTCACATATTTACACCATACACACATTGGCAATAAATCCAAGAACATATGTGATTATACCACTGCCTAAAATCTGCTATCACCCATCACGATCTAAGAGGCACAATAAAGGCTTTTCTCTGCTTGAGTACCTGGCAAATCTGCCATTGTTATTCTAACAGCGCTGCCAAACACTCCTGACAGACATCCCTGAGTTAACAAACTCATGAGTGAACCATCAAAGATGAAAGGGTAAAGAAACGAGGCAGAGTACACAGAGGCAATGCATGTTATGTTGAGATGAAAGGGATGACATCCTTCTGGAATGAGCATTCGGATCAAAACCAAGCTCTTATATAAACAACATTTCACAGGGAGGTGTCAAACTTCTGGAGCTGGCAGTGATCAGTACATAGAAAAGAGGCACAATGCTCACCATTCACCTCTGTGGGATGACAATCTGCCTGATGGAGCAACCCTTTCCTTGGGAAATAATAATTAAACAAAGGACACAATGCGCTGAGTGTGTGACTGCAGGTGGATAACAGGTTTGCTCCACTGATTTAACTTCTGGGTGATGTCAACACAACAGGGGAAACAAGGGTTTTCACAGAGCGAGGTGATGACGTATTGTGCTTTGATTGGGAATCATGTTACATGCCAGGAAACCCACAATGCCAAAAGTGACAATTGTTCTCACTCACCTCCTAAGTATTTGTATATTGTATTTCACTTCTCTTTGCCTTGATTTTAGAACTGTTTTAGGCATGAGCTATGTTTCCCAGAGTGAAATGATGACGCTGTGTGGAGAAGGACTGTTTTTGTTTTGCTCTTCTAATCATGTGATGCAATCATAGTATGTATACAGTTTAACAAGAATTGTTTTCATTTGGGCGTGTGAACCACTAGACTTAAACTGACTAGCATGCAACAGCTGGTGACGAGTGCATGCGCTAGCTACGGTTATTAACACACGTTAAAGAATTTCTGATCCACCTGTACAAGTTGTTGCCATGAAGACCCGTTTTGATCGGAGGTGAAGAAAAAATATGTTAGCAACCTGTCCTGATGCAAACAGTTTGGTTGGATACATTTACCGTTACTCCCCCTGCAACTTTACAGATGGAGGTTGACTTTTTACCTTCAGACAGAGCCAAGCTGGCTGTATCCTCCGGCTCCCAGTCTTTATGATAACATAGGCAAACCAGCTGCTATTTGTAGCAAGATCTA